GAGAGGATAGTAGAAATCATTTGTAAGCTAGAGCGAATCTTTTCACCTTCATTCTTTGACAGTATGGAGCATCTTGCAATACACCTTCCATATGAGGCTCGTGTAGGAGGACCGATGCAATTTCGATGGATGTATCCATTTGAGAGGTAAATATAATTAATAATGGTCCTTTTAAGGACCATTATGAAACTTTTTAAAATTTTGAGGGTATATTTGATACAAACTTAGAAGTTGAGGTACCAATTAGTATTTTAATCATAACTTAATTATATAATAATTCTTGGTGAATCAGGCTGATGCATTGTCTTAAGTTGACGGTGAAAAACAAGCAACGTCCTGAAGCATCCATATGTGAAAGTTACATAATGTCTAAGATCACAAATTTTATCTCTCATTACTTGCATGATGGGGTGCATAGTACAATTGATAATCCCATGAGGAATATTGTTGTTGGATTTGGTGATAATAGTGGCCTATCAATCTTTAAATGTGTTGGAAAACGTATTGGTTCCAAAATTGAAAGACGTTGCTTGACAGTAGAGTAACGCAAAGCTGCTTCGTATTATGTGTTAATGAATTGCAAAGAATTGCGAGGATGGGTCAAGTAAAAAACCTACACTAATATCTTTAATATCTTTAATTTGTTATGTTAAGATTCATTGAATTAAAATACTAACAATATATAAAAAATTATTATCAAACTTTATAGTTTATTTGAGAGAGAACAATGTCAAAATATGAATTCTCAACAAATTCAAGCAAAACGCGAGAGAGACCTTGTGCCCTGGTTTGAACAAGCTGTGAGTATTTAATAATATGAATATTCAATTCTTAACATATATACGTTATTTCTCTTCAAATGCATCTAACATTTTCTTCTGCAATCTATATATTTTAGGTAATTAGTGATAAGTTCATTAATGTCCATGAGCATATCAAAGGTTTATCTAGTGGTCCAAAAAATTATGTTTCTTGCTATAATGGATATATTGTCAATGGATTCCAATTTCACACTGCCCACTATGGTAGAAATAAGCAAACAATGAATTATGGTGTCTGTGTTGTCAGATCTATTGGTACTGAATCAGATTATGATTTTTATGGTGTGCTTCAAGAAATAATACAGATTGAGTATTATGGATCAATCCATCGACAAGCAGTTATTTTATTCAATTGTGATTGGTACGAGATTCCTCCTGCTCAAAGGGTTCAAGTGGATCAACAACATCGATTAGTTGACATTAATCCTAGAAGATACCTTCGATCTTATGAGCCTTTCATTCTTGCTAGTCAGGCAAGGCAGGTTTATTACACACCATACCCATCTATTAATCATGAAAGAAGGGAATGGATTGTTGCACTTAAAATTAAAGCT